CTTCTTCAAGCAACTCCCAAGAAAAGTGCCTTCGCAATCAATGAGATGCAGAAAATGCCTCCGGACGTTATTTGAAACAAAAATTTCTTTGCTCTGAGAATAAAAGAAACTAATTTCTCATTCAGAAAAAATGTTGTGTACTTAAAAAATCTCCAAAAAAATATGATTACTAGAAATTCTGATGGCTTGTCTTTTAATCAGTCAATTTTGCATCAATCTATTGTAACTTTGGAAATTTGAAACTCGAAAATCACTTTTAGAATCGGTGTAAATTGTCGGCATGGTGGGCACCAATGAGCAGAGAAATACAATGCCACAACTTTCTTGTTCTGAAATGAGAACGAATTTCTGCAAAACAATTTAGAAAGAGCACCTGCTAGCAGGAAATGATCAGTGACGCTAACTTTCCATTCCCATATTTTCACAAACATTATTTCCTCACTAATAAATTTTCTAAAAATTATTTTAAAATGAATCATTAAAAAGCTTACGGCCAATGCTTCGCTTCCTTTCTTCACAGTACCATCAGTTTTCTTCAAATTGGCATTAGCAAGTAATTCTGCCATTCCTGAGTTTTCAAAAGATTTAACAAGAAATGTTAGCCTCGCTCCTGGTAGTATGAAACATAAATTGAGAAAAATCAAATAAAATCAACCAATCCTAAATCTCCTTTACTTGGCGGTACCCATTTTCCGTAATAAATTTCCCAATTTGATCAAATTATTCCGAAAATTTCAATGATAATATAAAACTAAGCGCTGATCTTTAAATTGACAATAGCATGCGGAATTTTCCGCTTGTTTTACATTTTTATGAAAACTTCGCATTGCAATTTTATTTATATTTGTGATATAATCTAAGAAATATTCGTAATATCATCTCAAACAATAATTCTAATTTTGGTTTTTGGCCTCGGACGAAGAAGTCACATATCAGTCGGAATTATCCTTTCGGAATTCTTTCTACTGGTTGCTAGATAAGCGACACAAACTCGCAAGCAATTCTAAAAGTTAACAGCAAAAATTTAATGCATCAGTGCACATTATTCTTTACCGAGCGATATTTACTTAGAACGAAAATACAAATTGCCTCAAACATGAAGATTGCGCTTAAAACCGTTACTTGGGAAATGATAAAAATAATGAGAATCAAAAACCAAACATAACTTCTCAGAGAAATGGAAATAAAATTGAAAGTGACTTCTCCTTAGGCTATAAAAAAAATAAGGCAAGACAAATAAGAAGCAAGCTTGTTTAATTTTTATATCTTAAAATATATGGTTGTTAACTTCGTTTTTAAGCGAATCAACTGATCATTCAATCATTCCATCATCGAAGAAAATAATAAAACAAAAAACTTAGTGATATTTGGAAATAAATAATGCTACTGAAGCCGAACTATCATAAACCAAACTTTAATACATTTCTACGATATAAATCACAGAGCAGAAAAGTACCAAGCATCGCTGTCATTAATAACGATGATTTAAAATCTGCCTGCATGTAAGCAATTTTAATATGTATAAATACAATTGATATAGTCGTTTAAATATCAGTGCCAAGAGATACGGACAGAGCGCGCAGCAATAAACAGGAAATTAATTGATTATTTAATCATTTCACCATCGAAGAAACCAAGCAGGAAATGCATACTGCTGTCATAGACATATATATGGTTAGAATGATACATGCTGCTCGGAAATATTTTATTATCCCGTTCGTTAGTAAAACAAATAGAGAAAGGCAGAAAAAAAGTAAGCTGCTGTCTTGGAAATATATTGCTAAATCACCTAATAGAGAAATGAACTATTGCCACAGAGACATGTAACTAAGAGGTTATTCATAAACTTTATATGCATGAAGCAGTAGAAGTGTGGAATAATTGAAGAGAATTTGTAGCATGTTAAAATAGTCACAGCTAACAGCTGAAAATGAGTGAATACTTATGATAATACAAATTTAGAATATAAAATTGAAAAAATAATAAGGAAAATTTGAAATAGTTGAGCAGAATACAATAAATGGATTATTTTGAACAGTTGAATTTTTTATGACGAAAAAGCTCAAATTTCGTAAAATTTTTCGTAAAATAAACTGCATCAAAGTCTTTATAAAAAGTATGTTACATGAAAGTCATAACATTGCAACAAATCTCAGAGGCTTTTTGCAAACAAAATTAGTTAACAAGGACAGGGTCCTTACTGATTATTGTGATTTATTTACTACTCGCAAATATTATGAAATAGCAATGATTCAGTTCTACAATACTTCATTGCTCTTTGCCAATTCAAGCATGCTTTGTTTGCAGACAGGAACATATTTCATTGAATATCTGAAAAACAATACAAATATTTCCCTATCTAATATCAAGGAGAAAAAAAATGTAATAACAATAAAACGTAAATTATAACCCTCTTCATTCCAAAGCTTTTGCAAAACTTTAAGGCGGGTCAATCTTACTGACACTACTAAACCCTCCACGCTTTCACTTTCTGGCTACTGATATCAGCACATGCAAAAATTCTCACAAAATCGTTTTTCTAAAACAAATATTTCTCTATGAAGTATGTTGTTGCAGTATATTCCAACTATAAAAACACATAATGGAAATGTTTCAAAATTTTTATTGATAAATTTTACATTTAAAGACTGATATACACAATACAATGGGACATGGAAGAAAGATGAGATGCTGTACATAGCATAACATATATAATTAAAACAAATATCAAAAAAACGTAGCATACAATATCTCAGTATTATTGTTTAAACTGTAAAAATTGCATTGAGAGGATAAATTAATTTATTTCTTCGGAATTAAGAATGCCAAGGATCCCAGTGACGTAATTATGAAACCTACCTATCCAAACTAATGTTGAGGCTTTTCTATTTTAGTTAAAGGATTATAATAAACTTCGAAATAATTGACAATTCTCTTCTAAAAATGCTTTTCGCTGTTTTGCTTGGTACATCTTTCCTCTGAATAATATACAAACGATTAGCGAATATTGGATTAGAGTTGAAGTTACTGTAATAGATTTTTAATACATTAAACATAAGTTTATATTCTAATATCTTTCAAATATTTATGCTATTTACTATGTATAAAGCAGACTGTAGACAGCGATCCAAAACCGTATAACATGCAATTGTTCCAGGCATTCCAGTCATGCGCATTTGTTTTCAATTTATTAATAAAAATCAAATTGATTAAAAATCTCATATTTCCGCATTTCATTATATTTTTTAGAGTTGACAGTTTCATTTTATTATGCAACTCTACCCTAAAAACTAACTTTATAGTAAGAAGGATAAGAAACTTGAAGTGTTACACAGGCTAGAAAAGAACATTTGACTGATCGCCTTCACTACCAGTATCAAATCCAGCATTCTGTGCTGCTTGGAAATGATAACGGGCATTGTAAGCTCCTCCTGAGCTACCACAATTACCTCCGCCAGTTCCCGGACCCATCACACCTTGCATCATTCCCGTTTCATCGTGTCCATAAGGAGTGGCTACTTGTTGTCCGTAACCATATGCACCGTAGCCATACGAATTAAACTGTAAAATGAAAAATATGAATTTTGAAATAAATCCTATGGAAACTTTTGAAATAAATCCTATGTCACAGTGATCAAATATTAACATCCTTTCTAAAAACCTATAAAATAATAAATTTAAACGAAGCTTTCCATAACAATCATGATTACGTGACCCTCACAGAGAATTGCTGATGTCATCACTACTAGTGACAATTCGTCTCTCTCTGAAAACTTGATGTCCCACATGTTAATTAATGTATGTAATTTTTGCACGTAACACGTGCATTATAAATTAAAAAATGTGACTTGATATATTTATAATAAAATGCACGGAATATATGAGAAAGAACAGTAAAACTTCTACCTATTCTATTCTAAGAATTCATACAAAAGAGGAAATGCATAGACGGATATGATGACATTCCTGATGATAAATACTGATGATAAATGCAAAAAGCCTGATAAATGCGTTATTGTCAGCGTCATTGTGAAAGCTATACACTAATCTCTATGTTGCATATGTGAAAGCTTGTCATAAACAAACATTCCCATCGTTAAATTAATCTTTTAATGAGTAACCTGCCCGTTTGAACGTTAAGGAAGTTCTCTTCAAATGAGAATTTGTCAGATGACAATATCTGTTAAAAGGTATCACTAATGGATGAGACTACTCCAGTTCCATTTATGTCATTAATTACATCAGTGGTAATGATCAGAATCACAACGTTACTCATTTGGTATATTCAGCAATAATGAAATGTGGACAATCATCTTTTGCTCTCTCGCCGTTCCGAAAAAGATCGAGAATGTCAATTCAAATCAATCTACTATTCATCAGCATTTTTGAATTTAGGCCATTTTTATATTCAGATCCTAAGTTCAATGTATCTTCATAATTTCGCCTTAACTTACGATTTAAATGCCTGTATCTTTTGAATTTCTCTCTAATCTGCAACTGTTTTCATTATTCATAAAAAAGTTCGATACTTTTTTGATTTTTTTTTTTTACTGAAATATTAATTGTAAACTATTAGTTTCTTCTGCGTCAAACTAAAACAACGAAATTTCTGTTTAGAGATGAAAGATCAAAATAGTTATTTTCATCTCTATATGACCGAATAAATTGAATGAGAATAGCCGAAAAGAAAAAAAGAAATGCCTAAATCGCATTCAACATCATGCCTTTAAATGATCTTGAAAATGATTAGATATTTCTAGCCTGATATTTCCACTTTCGGGATCAATTTGATGAAATCTATTCGTGTTCAATCATCGCTTCGAAAATTGCCAACACTTATACACGAAAATTATATGCTACTCCATCAAACAGGTATGTTACATAAAAAACAGTAAAGATTTTATCAATTAATTTGATCCTGAAATTAAACTGCTCGTAAATTTTTTCAATCATCGTAAGATGACTGAGATAATTTCCACTTCATACGGTAAAAGGATAAACTATGACATCATCACTTAACTATGACTACTTTAAATATCATAATTTTGTAGATGACAATAAATGCTTTCAGACACATTCCGAGCTTATAGAGTCTAACACATCGTAAGATCATTAAAATTTCTTGCACTCCTAATTTTCATTATGAATACATGTAGCACTAATCTTTCACGGTTTACTCTGTTATTCAGCACATATTTCATATACTAATAAAAAATTTTTCATTTAATTAATATTACGCATTTTTTTAGCGTTCTATGACATCATATTTATTGGTAAATCTCTCACATACTGTATTTTCATAAGTATGCGTGATTGTTCTTTTGATTTGTTTAAAAATCCGTTATTGTTCTCTTTGTTCATTCAATCCTTTCTTTCTAAACATTAACGGCTCTCAACTTATTGCATCAATTTTGACTGTCAATAAATATGAGATACTTCTGCGGGTTTTCACATACAAAGGCGTACGCCAAAATTCCCCTTTGCAAACTCGAATAGTGGACAGAAGGAAACGGATACTCTCTTCTTCCATATGTATATACATCGTCATTTTGACCGACTAATTCTTAAAGGGAAATTTTGTCTCTCACTGATAGTTTTTTCTCTTTCTCAAAAGAAATGACAAGTAAGAAAGTGGAATCGGACTGTTTATTTTCCGCAATAGAATAAAATTATGGTAAATACATTACAAAGAGAAATGTTGAAGGAAAAATTTTCATTTTACTACTACAAACGATTTGATAAAATGGGAGAAAATGTGAACATTTAAAATGAAACTGATTGTAGAAATATCAACAGATAATTTTCGTCCAATTTGCGTTATGCAGCTGCTAACCAACCCGAAAGCGTTTGCGGTGGAGCTTTACCCTGAAGTATTGCAGAGAGAAAATAATTTCTCTTCATAAAAGTCGGAATCAAATATTGTGCCATTTGATATGCCTCATTTTTATTGATGACAATTTATGACGACTGTGAATGACTGCTTTCTCTGTCAGTAAGTATGCAAATAACATTTTCAAGGAACAGTGTACGAAAATGTGAGATAGAGAAATGAAATTTGGCATTCCAAACTATTTTTAACAATAAGCTCTATGTGTTAAATCGGCGTTTATAATATTTTCTAACATTTACAGAAAAAACTTCGATCCAAAATCCAATCTAAAATTAAATGAAATGAAATTCTTACCGAAACATCAGCTCGACCATTTTTAGTAATGACATTACCATCGGGTTTGATCACAATAAGCATAGGAATCCCAGCAATTTCGTACTTACTTTTCAGTTCTCTCAAAATGAAGAAATGACAACAGAAGAAAGAATTGGCTAAAAAATCTGTTTTTAAATGAATCTCAGATCCAAGCCACTTGAAGTAGCTAATCTATATGACAAAAAACAGTGAAGATGAACAAAAATCAAAAGGAGATTATATTTTTTTCCTCCCTATTTCCATTTACTGGATTAGCTCATTTTCAAGCGAAAAACATACTCAATTTCACTGGACCCATAAGGGAGATGATACCAATTGCCATGTGATTCTCTTAGATAAACATTCAAATCCTCTTCTGAATGATCGAGTGAGACAAATACTATTTCAAATTGCTCGTCGTCTACTTCTTCGTAAAATTCCTGAATGCATCAAAGACACAATTAATCCAAATTTAATTTTATTGTAAAAGTACACAATTCATTCGCACTTTGCAAATAAAATTAAACTTTAAAATTGAGGTAGGGAGTGAATCAGAAGTTTTGATTAGATTTATTTAAAAACCGGTTAACCAACTCCCGGAAGAAATAATTTTAATTTTTA